AACATCAATGAAATCAATTAACCGGCCGTGACATTCGCCAAAGGCGCCACTTCAATTGTCCACCGATAGTCATCCCAGATGTTCCACAATCACAGATGTCCGAGTGAAAAAATAACTCCGGAAAAAACGATTTAGTTTACTCGAATCGGTCAATAATAGCCGAGTCATCGAGTATCTTGATCAATTCACCTGACTCCAAAGTCCACTATTAACATCATTCGACTTGTTATCTCATGCCATCATAATTCCGCTAGAGAGCGGCTTAATTTACTTCCCCGACGGTTGAGTCAGCGCGATGTGTCTACACGATACCGATTGCAACATTACTCGCAACATATAATTGAGAGAAAAATGAAAAAATCATCAACGGAAAAATGAGGAAAAGAAAGGCGAATGAAAAATGAGATGACAACTGCACTTGTTGACGGTCGAGGACAAGGACATGGGATCTGTCGGCTTCAAGTTAATTTAAAAATGTGATTCACGAGGCGACAGCCACTGGGTTGAGAAATTTTTTGGCACCCTTCGGGCAAAAATTGGCTAAATTTAATTTTCGAGTTTTTAACATTATTGCTGGGGTAAGAGTGCACTTTGTGCTGAGAAAAAAAATTAGTTCTGCTGAAAAATTATATACTTGCCTGAAGAGATCTTTTGTCGTGTTGAATTAATTTACTTGCGGACAAAAAGAAACTTTCCACCAAAAAATGATAATTTTCGTAGTGGTAATTGTTCTCGTGAGCCATTTATATGTCTTTCGGGTGAATACATTCGTTTTACAGAGAATAATATGAGGCTCCAGTTTCATCAAGCGAATGTTATTGAGTAGTGTATATCTTTGTCCAATAAACAATTATAATTTCCATGGAACAAATGATAATTTCAAGAAAAAACTACAATTTTCTTGCAGAAAACTGTTATTGGCAAAACTAAATAATTTCGAGGGGACAATTTTTTTTGGGAAAAAAATATTCTTTCCTCGCCATGTGAACCTATGAAGTTCTCTCAGATCAAATGATTGTCGTACAATAGATTATAGTTTTTCCTGCCAACAGTTCGAACCCTTCTAGGGATTTTTCTGATGATGACGATAAAAATTTAATTTTGTGAAAGACATTAAATTTTCTTCTATCAAGTTGGTTAATTTTCCTGAAATTCTCACTTAGAATATATAATTTCACGACTATCAATAAATTTCGACACTAAACTAGTGAAGAATGTCACGAAATATTAGGTTCAAATGATTAATCACTTCCGACAAGTGATACGACACGAGAAATAGTCGGATTTCGTGCGGTTCACTTTAATGCTCTATAACGAATTGTTAATGATGTTAGGGATATGAGGATTATTGAGTAACATCAGTTTCGCAATTTTGAGATGCCGATCAAAATAGCAACTGACATGTCTGCGTCGTTATTTTTATGACACTGTAATACGCTTTGGCAGTAAAATCAATTCAATACACTGACACTTTAAAGAGGTGCATGTGTCTTTAAATAATTCCGATTGAATTGTTTGAACGCTGTCATGTGTTCGATTGTACTCTCTTGGCACATATGCTCAACGTATTGTTACGATTTTCTAATTTTCCGGAATAGATTTCTTCTTGCAAGCAATATTTTCTTTCCTCAAGACCTCTCCGCTGAAGTGAGCGTCAGTCGATTGTTCCTATTCATTCTTTTTCCTCATTCTGACAAGTTAATAATTAATGATTGATTACTAGCAGTTAGTCATCCATTACTCGTTAATATCCCTAGAAGACGGAGATACCTAAGATTTCAATCTGAACAAATCTGAATTTCCAAAACTTCCAGCTGCTTTCAAAGTTGCTTCATCCTCGCAAAAGCTGTCTACAGCAGTTGTAAAAAGGAAAAAATACATTGAAAAGGAAACTTTCTCAAGACTTTGTTCAAGACCATTATCGTTTCATATTTACCACGATCAAATAAAATAAAGACTTCCTTATCAAGACCTGACGTAGTAGTAATTTGACCCCTGGAGGTGGCCGAATCCACATTCTGTTTTCGTGTCAACGAAAATTCAAAGCTATCTCTGAAATTTAGCGAGATGATTCAGAATTTCGGTGACTGGCGTCGAGCGAAAGGAGATTTATCCATTGACGCAGTCAGGGTTTATGACAGCTTTCAGTTTTCTTCGTAAATTTAATAAATCTAAGAGATTCCCTACAGATGAAAGAATGACGTAGTTTTCCACTTGATTCCATGTTTGAGGGGAGATGAATCATGTGTTCACCAAGAGAAAAACTTGCCGAAAAACTGTATGTTGTACGTGAAAATATTTGATGAAGTGGAACAGATTTACTTGAGGGAAATTAATCACTTTGATAGAAGCCAATTTAATATCTTTTACAAAATTAAATTTTTGTCGTGATCATCAGAAATATCCCTAGAAGAAATCGAACTACTGGCAGAAAAAAATACAATCTATTGTACGACAATCATGCGATCTGAGAGAACTCCATAGGTTTATACCATAGAAAGAATACATTGACGAGGAAAGAATTTTTTTTCCCAAAAAAAATTGTCCCCTCGAAATTATTTAGTTTTGCCAATACCACAGTTTCCGGCAAGAAAATTGTAGTTTTCTCTTGGAATTATCATTTGTTCCATGGAAATTATAAGTGTTTATTGGACAAAGATATACACTACTCAATAACATTCACTTGATAAAACCGGAGCCTCATATAATTCTCTGTAGAACGAATGTATCTATTTGAAAGACATATAAATATCTCACGAGAACAATTACTACTACGAAAATTATCATGTTTTGGTGGAAGCTTTCTTTTTTGTCCACAAGTTAATTGATTCAACACGACAAAAGATTTCTTCAGGGGAACATAATTTTTCGGCAGAACAAATTTTTTCCCTCATTTGAACCTTATTTTTGATCATTGAAAAACTAGTGCGATGCAGCTCCTGAATTTTGCTGAGGAAATAAATCACTCTTCGCCTCGATTAACAACGAAATGGGCAGTGAAAAAATTGATTTGAATTTTTTCCTGACTGCTGATTAGATTACTGCGTCAGTGGAGTTGACATTCGCTCAGCTCGCACTCAATGCAGATATGGAAAAAATAATCTCAAGATTACAGCACCGATCTTACGTTTGATCTCAGGGACATAATGTGTCATTTTTTGTTGACTCGTTTCCCTTCTGCATTTTCATCAGACAATACATCATTGAGGACGATTTTTCTATGGGCCTGTCATAATCATATGGCGGAAATGGCAGATTGAATGCACGTGGCGAAGGACGGGGCTGATTTTGGCAGGCAGACAGACGATACTGACTGACACTGTCGGAGAAGAAAACACCGGAAATTTCCCATAATGGGCTTCAAGGGTATTTCTGAGCGGAAAGCAATTTTAACTTGATGACTCAGACTTCGGTCTTCAATCAAAATTGTGACACAATTCATAATGATAGCAATGGAGTGATTGTACCAATAATTAACCCAGAATTTAAGAATTCATTGAGATGGTTTTCCATTATCTATCTATCGTTAACCTTATTCGAAATTAATATTCAGGTTAAGAACATTTTTTATTGTAAACTCATTTGATCCTGAATTACTGAACATTCCGCATTGATTTTATTATTGACACTTTGAAGATTTTTATTTTATTCTCCATTTTCTAACGTTAGGAAACATTTTTAAAATCAGAAACAGAGGAACTTTGTTTGAGAAATTTTCCACAAAGAATTTGTAAACAATCGATTTCTCGTCCTGATAATTCTCGTGGGAAGTGATTGAATGTCAAAAAAATTTCCGAAAGTGGGAACGATATTCATTTTTTGTTTAAGAAGGAATCATTTCAAAACGAAATAATGTCCCGCAGAATATAATTTCAATATTGTTCATAATTTTTCATTTCATAAAGAGAAAACAAAACGATCAGCTGGTAAATTCTAGAAATGAACCCATAAATGAACCCATAAATGAAACAATAATAATTATATGATAACAATCTTGTAACTTAAGGATAAAATATTTGTTGATAAATTTTCCTCTATATGAGATATTTTCATCCTGAAAAGGCACCACCTGGTGTGAATTATCCGCCTCTTAAGCTCAATATTTCGTTGCTGTCGAAAGCAGAACAATTGTGGACGTCCGCATGAAAAGGGACCACTTTGTCGATATGGAGTTATGTATACTCTGATAATATTTATAACATTCCGCACATTTTGAGCCCAAAATGATCCTCATAGGGTGAAAAATTACGTCGCCGGAGCAGATGAATAAAACACTTAAATGGGAGTTGCTGAGACAAAAACGTGAATATCTCAGAAACTAGAATCGACAAATTAAAGTGGTCCCTTTTCATGCGGAGGTCCACAATTATTCATGTTTGAGACTTTCAAATTCGAACCAAACAAATTCCTTTTTGGCAATTTTCAACTAGCGATTTTGTTGGCCCAAACAAGACTTGCTTGACAACGTGTTTGTTTTTCTCTCAGTGTAGACGGTACAGATTGGCTTAAAAAAACGTTTCATTGGATTCTCCATTAAAGTAAAATGAATATCCGGGGCGCCTCACGTAACAGTATATTGTTAAATAAAATCATTCAAATCCCTGTAAAATTGCGGGAAAAGTTTCAAAGTCTCACCGTGACGCGTCTCCAAGATCGTTGCATTCCGCTGATTGGTCAGCTCCTGGCATCCCTCCGTACCTCCGGCCCATATGCGTCGCGCCGAGAGTCGCACGCACCCACACACACCCCGAGGACCTTCACACAGAGCCGCCGCCCGTGTGTTTTTCCCCTGCACACACACATACACACACACACACACACACACAGAAACACCATGTTGCCGCGCAACTTGCGGGTACGTTTCATATAATCGTCGTTATCGCTTCACCCAAAGTACACAAACACACACCACCACATGCCAACAATTGGCCGCGTGTTGGAAGCAACATTGCCGTCTGTGAAGTCAGCGATTTCCGTCCTTCTCCGTCTCGTCGTCTTTAACATTTTGCTAGTTGTCGTTGTAACAGTCGACGAATTCGCTCGGGTCTAACTCGTGCGGTTGAACGTGTCCGTACAATCGATCCCAAGTGTTTGTTAATCACAATTTTTTTTATTTTCGCGCACGAATGTCGATGTCGCAGTGCGTGGGAAGAATATAAAACCGGCGTTAGAGGAATAGAGGGACTCGGTGGAATTGAAAAAAAGTCGAGAATTCCGCGAGTTTGAAATTCTTTTGCGGAGCTTTCGCAGTGTGCACTCTCGCGTTTTTTTCAAACATATCAAATAGTGAGTTGAGATGACCAGTGGGGGACAGGCTAGCAACGGCGAGAATCGAGGACGAAATGGCCACGTGCTGGTGTGGGAACAGCCGGGCCTCGACGAAAACGATAAACGCCAGGCTAAACAACGAGGTAATGAGCGGAATATGTTGACGGTCTTTCCTCATTTTACCTTTAATCCCTCCACCGAAGTTAACATCTCTCAATTGTCCTTTACTTTTGTTCCTCGCGAGCTGTACCATTCTGTCATTTTCTTTCTCGTCCCTTTTTACTTTAATGAACGCTTTTAATTAGGTCAACCGGCCTTTCGGTGCTCTCCAGTCGTATATTCATTTTCGCGGGCTATCGCAAGTTTAAGGACGCATTCGAGGCTCATAACGCCATGGCGAATGGGTCGCGTAACCCGAGAGGTGCACGCGCCATCGATGTGCCGGGATCTCTTTCTCTCTCTAATTTCACTCGGGACTTCACTCGCCGCCGGGAGTTGGCTGCTAGATGGGGAGAACACGTGCAGGGGAATCTCGTGATCCGCGAATTATCGAGTTCTTCGGGTTTTTACGAATTTTTTGTTCCGAGGATTTTTTTCAACCGCGGGGATCAATTTCACGCTGTTGAGGATTTTTTCGCAATTCCTTAATTCGAAGAATAGGAAAAGCCAGAATACTGGAATAACTATGATAATAAATGTGCTCAGCTATTTGCCAGAGTGGATGATCAACTAGATCTGACGTATTGAAAGTCAAGAATTCTAAAATTTAGATTGTCAAATTACATTCGTTAATTAATTATATCCTATCCTATATTTTACTAAAGACGAACGAAACGTGAAGTTGTTTTATATCGAAATATCTCGAAACTGCCTGACCGCTAATTTTTAATTCTGATTGGTTAATATGTGACGCGAAGTTATTCACAAAAAAAAACGCGGCATTTTCAAATTCTTCAGTGGTAAATTTTTTTTTCACGTCATATATATGTATATATATATATATATATATATATATATATAATATATCTATTTCACATGTATATATATATGATCGGTGAAATGAATAAATTGTCCTTTTATGGAGACCGATTATTTTAAAAAATTGAAGATAATTAATTGAAAATGAAAAATTCTTTATAGATTCTTTTACTCTACTTCGCTATTCACTTCAATCATTAGTCGAATTCTCTTTGATTCATTATCAATATTTATAAGGTATTCATGAGAAAATGAAATTCAATGAATTCCATTTCTTCATTTCAACAAATGAATAGATCAGCGCGCGCGAGAGCGCGTGCATGGATCTTGTGAAAACAAAAAGTGTGAACCTAAAAGGCAACGTGAGTGTAGAAATAAACGGAAGAATACCGTATGATATTCATTCATCGAAGTTAGTCATGAAAATTAAAATATCCACAATTAAAAAAAAATGATAAAATCTTTTAATTAAACTAAAGATTCATACAAGCTTACACTAGCGCCAAAAAATTTCACTGACGCAGTTGAGGATTTTTTCGCAATTCCTTTTAAAGTAGCTGTACCGTTACGCTAAATTGAAAGATTATTGAAAACTGCAAAAAATTTGCAGAAAAACCGATTAGATTCGGAATTGTAATTTTTTTCTCAATTTAATTATCGTTTTGGTTTTTCAAAGAAGAAAAGTTAAAAGATCAGGATTTAATCCAGTGTCTTATGTGAAAATCAACATTTTCATTGTAATTAAAGATTAAAATCTGAATTTTTTTTCATTAGATGTAAAAAAATCAAGAATTTTTTTGACACCTCATTAAAAATAATCTACCGTTTCGCAAACAAGTTTTATTATTTATTTATAAGGGGGAAATGTTTGAAAAAATATCAATATTTTGCGAAATCTAATTTAGATAATACTGATTGGGTATAAATCTTTTCAAATTTTGTCCATGCAATTTAGTTGAAAAATTTAAAAACTGAAAATATCCACAAGTACAGCGCAGGCAGGCGCCGGCAGAATACTGAAATAATGACAATAATAAATGTGCTGACCTATTTGCTAGAGTGGATGATCAATTAAATCTGACGTCAAAGTCAAAGAACAAAGTCAAGAATTCTAAAATTTGAATTGTCGAATAACATTCATTAATTAATCACATAAAAACAAAAAGTAAAACCCTAAAAGGCAAAGTGAATGCAGAAATAAACGTGAGAATACTGTATGATATTCAGTCATCAAAGTTAATCATGAAAATCAAAATATCCATAATGAAAAAAAATAATAGAATCTTTTAATTAAACAAAAATTTCACTGACGCAGTTGAGCATTGCTTGCAATTTCCCCCTTTTAATTCGAAGGAGACAGTCGCACATGCGTCATGCACTGATAAAACTTAACGTCATCTTCATGTTTTTTATCTGGTACATCAACCCTCGAAGTTGTTTTATCGAAAAATTCCATTCGAAAAGTATCTTTCAATGCCAATCGATGATTAATTTTTATAAATAATGTTCCTTAGAGAATTGGCTCGTGTGGATGAAACCCTCGATGCGATTTCAGCAAAAACCACACGAGATAAATAAAAATTAAAAATGTTTTCGAATCACCATTTTTAATTATGTTTTTTTTTCTCATTTACTTTGAACCCATTTTGCCCCACGAGTATCCACCATATTAAAAAACATTTAATAGAATTTATCAGAAATAATGCAAATCATCTGAACCTTGACGATGACAAAGCAATTAATTTGAAAGACCTAATAACACAATATTATTTATCCCTAACACCAACATTCAGATAATAAATGGTGACCGAGGAGAATTTGAAATTCAAAAGAATTCAATCCGATATGTGGAAACACGAGAGACAGTGTTAACGAGCATGGCCGGCAGGGTCTCTCGCATTCACGCGGTTATTTAAAGACAACAAGGTAGGAGACGCTACGTAGGCGTTGGTTAACAGCTAAAGTTGGTCGGGATTACTGATGTTTAAATACCGGATAATGTCAATATGACGATCTATCGCGGGCATTGGATAATTCAAAGGGCGGAGAATCTTCGGAATTCTTTTTCCCTCGTGCACAGCTGGTGGAAACACCCAAGGACACCGAAATTCGATCCTTGTTTCCTCAGTGTCGATTATTTCCTCCTCCAAAGTCATATCAATTTACATCTGATTGATCGATTCAGCAATCAGACTTGAATTCTCGGAACTCCGCGGATGATGACTTGGGAAAAATTGAAGGTTCATTAAAAAAAACAAGGCATTCTAATTTTACTGGCGAGTGGTTGAAAGATGAATCGCAAGATTCATCAACATTCCGACTATTCGATTGAGCGATTAAAAAAACCTGTAACTCGACTATTGCATGCAGTTGAAGTCGTGAATAAAGGGGAAAACATCGAGCGAAGGAGAATTATTTCATTTCCGTTAGTTGAGTTACTTCACACGTTCGAATTGTTTCCGATGATATGCGTAATGTGGGATGACGTCATCGAGACGCGCCTGTCACGTTCACGTGCACAGCTCACGAGTCCCTTCCACTCTTGCTTGCCGAGATGATTTCGTCTGATCGAGTGATGATTGCGCGTTTTTTTTCTCTTTGATTAATTTATCGGGTTGTTTCTACGGCGTTGCACCGGCTTGACACGTGCTCGGGGAGTGGCGAGAGGAGCCTAGGACGCACGAAGGCGAGCGGGAGCACCCGAAGATAACCGAAGATCGCCGAAGCGAAGCTTTGGACCTGTCATGAGGGATGACGAAGTCTGGATAGAATTCATAATAAAGAATTGTTAGATGAGTTGCAAATTAGCTATGGTCGGTTGCAAAATTGTTATCCGGGTTTAGTCTTGACATTTAGACCTCGTGATATCAAATTTTCCGGATGAGACAGTCGAAGTAGTGGATTTGATACATTGTTAGAATTTAAATGAATGATCAATGGATGAATAAAAAGTTGATGGGCGATTGAGCCGTTTATTTGGAGAAATATTGATAAGGAGAAAGGAGTATTAAATGGCTAGAACCTTGACCGAAATCGAATTTGTCAAGATTATTTGAAGTACTTCAGTTTTCATACGTCTGACCCCGGTTGATGACTCATCGCTCTTTTTTTCCTCTTTTATTGATTTATCGGGCACGAAACTGATGCACCGGCTCGTCACGTGCTCGGGGGCTGGTAGGCAGGGCCGAGGATGCACGAAGACGAGCGGGAGCACCCGAAGATGAACGAAGATTGCCGATGCGATGCTTCGGGTCCGTCACAGGGGAGGACGAAGTCTGGATGGAATTGATAAAAAAAAATTGTTAGATGACTTGTAAATTAGCTGTGGTCGGTTGCAAAATTGTTATTCGGGTTTGGTCTTGACATGTAGACCTCGTGATATTAAATTTTCCTGCTGAGATAATCAAAGTCATGGATTTTATCAATTTCTTGGATTGAACGATTAATAAACAAAGAGAACGAGTAAATAAGCGATTAAGCCGTCAATTTTGGTGAACATCGACAGAAAATCTGCTTGAGGCTTGGGCTAGTGGATATCGCACGGATAGAACCTTGACCCGAATCCAATTTTTCGAGCATATTCACGTGATTTGCTTTTCGAGAGTTGAGTGGATCGTAATGATGACTAATGATGAATCGACGACACTGATACCGCGTCGAGATTGTGAAAGTCCTCATCTATTAGGTAATCTATTGGGTTAAAGAGTACGTGACGGAATTATTGAACATTGTGATTTGTTTACTCGAGGGTTTCGCGCAATTTTACGACTCACGAATTTCTCCGGTCAATTGAACTGGCTTTGTGTGAAGAACAGTACTATTCACTTTTATGTGTATTCCATTTTCATGAGGTCAAAGGGCATTGAGCAATGGCTCTTCATGCTGTTGTACATTGTCGCTCGTTACGAGAGGACGAAAATTCAACTGGATCTCGGCCAGTAAACTTTAGTTACTCGACCTTCATTTTTCATGCAGTGAAAACATCATACAACGAAGTTTGTTTCATTGAAAAGGTGAATGAAGGATGGATGCGATGAGAATAAAATGCTCTGAGTTGAATTTGGTGGAGTGGAATAGATTTACTTGAGGGAAATTAACCAACTTGACAGAAAAAAATTTAATATCTTTCACAAAAATTGAATTTTTGTCGTGATCATCAGAAATA